ATTTTAATTATAAAGGTCATATAACAAAAATTATAAAAGAATTTTTGATTAATGTAACATAAGTATGCACACTATCAAAAAGTTCGGAAAATTTACATAACAAAAATGTAAAATTACTTGACGAATAATGGAAATATACTAAGTAAATAATATAAAATTTGTGAAAATATGTAAATTTACAATATACTTATACATATTTAGTAAATTTCTGTTATTTATCATGTAATTTTAGCTGGCTGAAGTTTGGAACGTTCCTGAAGCAATTTAAAAAAAATGATTTATCGTTCTTCTTCTTTTACACAGAGGAAGTTTTGAGACCCACAAACAAAATACAAAAGAAACCGATCCGATACATGCGTCGGAAGACACACTTATACTCGGAAAACCTCTCCCAAAATCACATAAAAAATTCTCTTCGTGTCTTCTGACGCATGTATCGGATCGGTCTCTTTTGAATGTCATGTGAGGGTCTCGGTACTTCCTCTGTGTAAAAGGAGAAGAGCGACAAATCATTTTTAATTTGGTAAGAATTTTTAAAGTGATTTTGTGAAAGGTTTTTTGGGTATAAGGGTGTCTTCCGACGAATGTATTGAATCGGTCTCTTTTGTATTTTGTTTGTGGGTCTCAAAACTTTTCCTGTGCAAAAAGAGAAGAGCGACAGATCATTTTTAAAAAATCGGTAAAAGAACGTTCCAAATTTCAACCAGCTGTAATTTTTACATCTAGTTTTGCAAATTTATCGATTTCTTTTTACAGTATACATAGAACACCGCGTTTAATTATGATATTACCTTATTATTACTGCATAACTGGACATCAATTATACTGTTATTTATAATTGTACATCTCTCTGATATTTCTGTTTTTTCTCATATTTGTACGTTTCGTAAACGATGTGGATTAGTTCTCTGCGAAAAATTTGTCCTGTTGCGCAATAGAGAACAAAATTTATACTGTAATGTGCTGTGTCTAATAAGTCGAATATTGTTATCACAACAAACACATCGACATATTCACGGAACTGGAAAAATTATTATTGTTATTTTTATTATATATATAACTATTAATAATAACGTGTTATATCTTAACGCTATTTTCTTACGCGGATATCTAATGTAAAAAAATATTATATAATGACATTCTTAATGTAAAAATTAAACATTATAATTTATTTTTAAAAGTTCAAATTTTGAGAGAAAATTAATTAATATTTTTTGTTATATACAGAATGCATTTTTAGAGTAAATAATGTACACATTATATGGTCGATATTATTTTAAATTGAATTATTGATACTTACGTAATTCCTAAAGTAATAAAAGTAATGTGCAGGTAATTTCAAGATTAGAAATATGCTCGAAACGAGAATAAGCATTTTTGTGATCTTATGCTGAAGCATTTTATCCTTAAAAATCTGAGTTCTCTCATTAGAGGAATCGGACGCTGTAACCAAGGTTTTGCGAACACGATTTTGCTGATAAATGTGATATCCGATCAGAAAATTGCAGATTATTATCACGAGAGCAGGTAGACTAAATATTATAATAGAATCCATAATCTTTTTTATTAGCTGAACTTTTTTTGGGTCCAATTGTAGAAGTTTGTATATATCATAGCTATTCATTTCTCTTCTTAATATTTCATAGTATATGGTTCCAAAATTATAAAAAATATTTAAAATGCCGTTCAAAATCGCTAGTCCCATCAGTATGATCACTACAATTTTTGCTCGTTTGACAGTGCACCAAAATCGACGTAGAAGCGGATACTTTGTCACTATATATCTCTCGATAGTAAAGGCTACTATAAGCCACACACTTAAGAACTCGGAGAAGGAGAACAGAAAGTCTACGAAGATATATAAATAATACAAATAAATTCTTTCTGGATTTATATAATCCAATAGAAAAAGCCAGTCAATAAGTAATATCATTGAATAGGCGATGTCGCATATTGCAAGCATGCCCAAGTAGATGTTGGACGAGGAAGAACGCATCTTTTTACGGAAGAGCACAATGGCGGACAAACAGTTCCCTAAAAGACCGAGAATAATAAAAATCGGCAGACTGTACTTTCTGAAATTTGAATGCGTCGTATAATGATCTGCAATTTCATGGCTTAGCCCGGAAACAAAATCAAATTTATTTATGACGTCAGTGATGGAAAAATGGCTGCCTACAATATCTTTGTTACATAAATCTTTGAATTTTGTAATTCTACTCGTATTCACAAGTGGATGCTGATTCATCATGGTTTTCTGACGTCTGTCGATATACACGTGGATAAAATATTCAGCGAAGCTACGTGAAATTTCGTCAACATCTCTTTCGTTGTTACAAACACGCAATCGTAGTTTGTGTTTAGATATGCTGGAATAATCTATGCCAAGATTATTTTCAGAAAACATCCTTGCGTATGGTTATGGATTGTTTGCAATATTTGCTTATCAGATGAAAATCAAAAAGCGATATAATCAAGATGCGTCTCGCGTCTGAAAAGCGTTACAACGTTATTATATATATTATTCATTGATATCTTTCATATAAATTTTATTTATCGATATATGTATTGAAATAATTGTTTTTAAATATTAAAAAAATGAAACATACAAAATATACAAAATATATACTGTATTTTAAACATTCAAAGTAAAATGTCTTGCGCACTATCTCACTTACCAGAGAATCGTTAAAAATTTTGAAGCCTACGAATACAGGGGTTACAAACTCTCAGCAATTCCCCGATTTTAATCGTTCAACTGCTAGACACTAACGATTGCAAAAGACTGAATGTCGAAACGACTGACTTGGATAGCAATAATTTTTTCTTCCTGGAAGTTTGTGGCTTACTAAAATGATTAATATTTTGATTGTAAGGTTGCTCATATCCGTTGATATGTGAATTTCTGCAGGAACCTATTTCTCTAATGAAATATTTATAATAACGAGGGAGCTCCGTTTGTCTTCATTCCCGATTGCCAACAGCTTCGTTTGTCTACAATGTTTTGTCGACAGCTTCGATTGCCGACATTCCCGATTGCCTACAAGTATTATTGCGCACATACAAACGTACGTTTATATTTTTAATTTTTGCATGTGCGCAATAATATTTGTAGGCAATCGGGAATGTCGGCAATCAAAGTTGTCGGCAAAACATTGTAGGCAAACGAAGCCATTGGTGATCGGGAATGTAGGCAAACGGGACTCGGGACCTATAATAACATTAAAAAGCAGTAATAAATTACCGAAACACTAAATGTCGAGACGACTGACTTGGTTGAAGATAATATTTCTTCCTGAAAGTTTGTGGCTTACCAAAATGATTAACATTTTGATTATAATGTTGCTCGTATCCATAAGAATTGTAAGTTTGCGCAGGAGTCTGTTGCTTTACTAAAAGTATTTATAATGACATTAAAAAGCAGCAATAAATGTTACTAAAATAATACATAAAATACATAAAAAACAGAATTTTTTATTTTTCTCGTGAAAAATATTACAGTAAACAGTTTTTTATTAGCATAATATTTATAATTACATGACAACTGTGGTTATTATATATTATGTATTGAATAACAAGAACATTAAAATATTATATTTTGTATAGTTTAATTAATATTATATATTTACTTTTATTGAGATTTATACATTTGAATGTAATATGGTACTATTATTTTAAGAAAATTTCAGTTCTAATATTTGTTTGAATAATGGAACAATACTGTTAGCGCATTCTAAATGAGTGGACGGAATTGCTCTTTTTTTTTTACTATTTGCAACGCTAAATACGAAATTCAATTCAATTTATGTTAATAATTGTAAGTATATAGGTCGAAAGCCCTTACAATATAAATAAAAAGGGAGGGTCTCAATTGCCTACATTCTCATTTGCCAACAGCTTCATTTGCCCACAACATTTTGCCGACATTCCCGATTGCCTACAAGCGTTATTGCGCACATTTAAAAACTAAAAATACAAACGTACGTTTGCACACAAGACTAATGTCTTGCACACATACACATTGCACACATGACATTATTGCGCACATACACATTGCACACATAATATTATTGCGCATATTCTTTCCATGCAAAACGAGGTTCAACATGGGTTTACAACTTTGTTTGTGAACCTTGGTTAACCTTGTTAGGTTTACCTTGTTAGGTATAACCTGAGTAGGATTTGTTATTTTTTTACGCGGGGGAGAGGTTTCGCCCCGTAGGGGCGAAGTCCTCCGCCGCCTACGAGTAAAATTTCAAACAAAGCGAGGTTCAACGTGGGTTTATGAGTTTCTATACAAAGCGCAATAATGTCATGTGCGCAATGTGTATGTGTACAATAATGTCTTGTGTGCAAACGTACGTTTGTATTTTTAATTTTTAAATGTACGTAATAATATTATGTGTGCAATGTGTATATGCGCAATAATGTCTTGTGTGCAAACGTGCGTTTGTATTTTTAATTTTTAAATGTGCGCAATAATGCTTGTAGGCAATCGCTCTGTAGGCAATCGGGAATGTCGGCAATTGAAGCTGTCGGCAAAATGTTGTAGGCAAACGAAGCTGTTGGCAAATGGGAATGTAAGCAGTTGAGACCCTCCCACATATATATTAATATACTGGCTGCTACGAATTTGTGATATAATAACATATAAATAAAACATAACACATTTTTAGAACGTTCTTTTTCTTCTTTGGAAAATATTCTTGTAATGAAAGATGTGTCCATTACATTGATGATAACAAATTGACATTGAATTACAATCTACCATGTGACAATTCACCTATTTCAAATAGTTAATTGCACACTTCTCCTAAGTTATATAAGTTTACTTTGAGTATAGAAATAATATACATAAAATTTTTGACTTCTTTATGGTGCGCTTAAATATTGTACATACTACTTACATATATGTGCATCATAGAATTTTTGATCGTTATTTTTAATTTACTTTTAATACAATATACTTTTAATACAATAATAAGTTTAGCTATTTTATTTAGCTATTTGCAATTAATTATATTGTTATAAAGTTAAATGTATATTATAATCTCTCGTGTATGTCAGGAGTGTTAGCTTCTCTTGAGAAACTTTCAGTTGTTCGTTGTTAACAAATACACTGTTTTGTTTGAAGTGCGATTAGACGTAAATCTGCAAGCTGTAACAAAATGCAAAGTATTATCAAATTGCGAAAAAGTGACTGATTTATGCTTTCATTCATTTAATTATAAAAGTTATATAACGTAGATAGTAAAAGAATTTTTGATTAATGTAATATAAGTATACACACTGTCAAAAAATTCGCTAAATTTTCACAGAGCAGATGTAAATATTACATAACAAATAATAAGAAAAAAATACTAACCAAATAGTATAAAATTTATGAAATTATGTAAATTTGCAATGTACATTTAGTAAATTTATTTATCATGTAATTCTTACATCCAGTTTTGTAAATTTATCGATTTTTTTTTACAGTATAGAACGCCGCCTTTAATTATGGTATTACCTCATTATGACTGCATAATTGAGCATCAATCATATTGTTACTTCTAATTGTACATCCCTATAATATTTCTGTTCTTTCTTACATTTGTACGTTTCGTAAACATGCGTATTAGTTCTCTGCGAAAAGTTTGTCCAGTTGCGCAGTAAAGGACAAAATTTATACTGAAATGTGCATTGTCTAATAAATTGAATATTATTATCACAACAGACATATTGCCATATTTAGCCATCTGGAAAAATTATTATTGTTATTTTTTATGTATATAACTATTCATAATGACGTGTCGTATTTTACGGCATTCATTTTTTTTACGTAGATACCTAATATAAAAAATTATTGTACAATTTTATTCATAATGTAGAAATTAAACAGTATAAATTATTTTGAAAAATTTAAATTTTAAGAGAAAAATTAATTAATATTTTTTGTCATATTTAATACATGCATTACATACATTACATGTACAGAATGCATTTATGGAGTAATTAAACTATATATTATGGTCGATATTATTTTAATATGAATTAATAATACGTACGTAACTAGAATGGTGGAGAGTATAATATATAGGTAATTTCAAAATTAGAAATATGGTCGAAACGAGAATAAGCATTTTTGTGATCCTATGCAGAAGCATTTTATCATTAGAAATCTGAATTCTCTCATTAGTAGAATCGGAAGCTGTAATCAAGGTTTTGCGAACACGATTTTGCTGGTAAATGTGGTATCCTATCAGAGTATTGCAGATTACTATCACACGACAGCAGGTAAGATAAATATTATAATAGAATCTATAATGTGCCTTGTGTTTCTAAATCCATACTGTTTGTCAAATTTTATATATTTGTACACATCATAGATATTGCCGTTTCTTTTAAACATTTCATAGCGCATGGTCCTATACATATAAAAAATATGTAGAATGCTGCGTAAAATAGCTAGTCCCATCAGCGTGATTGCTACGATTTTTGCTCGTTTGACAGTGCACCAGGATCGACGTAGAAGCGGATACTTTGTCACTATAAATCTCTCGATGGTAAAGGCTACTATAAGCCACACACTCAAAAACTCGGAAAAGAAGAACAGAAAGTCTTTGAAGAAAATTAAGTAATACAAATAATTTGTTATTAGTTTTATATCCATTATTTGGAGCCAATTAATGAGTGATAACATCAAATAGACGATGTCGCTCATTGCTAGCACGCCCAAGTAGATGTTGGACGAGAAAGAACGCATCTTTTTACGGAAAAGTACAATAGCAGACAAACAGTTTCCTAAAAGACCGAGAATAATAAAAATCGGCAAACAGTACTTTCTGATATTTGAATTAGCGTTCGAACTATTTACAATCGCATGGTACAGCTCAAAAACAAAATAAAATTTATTTATGACATGAGTGATGGGAAAATTTTTGCCCATAATATCTTCGTTACATAAATCTTTGAATTTTTCAATGCTACTTGTATTCACAAATGAATGATTCATGGTCTTCTGAGTACTGTCGATATGCACATAAATAAAATATTCAGTTAGGTTTCGCAAATTTTCGTCAAGATGTCTTTTGTTGTTACAAGCATGCAATAGTAGTTCGTGTTTAGATATGCTGGAATAATCTTTGCCGAAATTATTTTCAAAAACCATCCTTGCATATGATTATGGATTGTTTGCAACAGTTGCTTATGAGATGAAGAGCAAAAAGCGATATAATCAAATTGCGTCACGTGTCTGAAAAACGTTTTAACGTTATTATATATATTATTCATTGATACCTTGCATATAAATTTTATTTATCGGTATATTTATTCAAATTATTTTTTTTATTAAAAAAAAATAAAATATACGAAATATACAGCATTTTAAACATTTAAAATAAAATGTGTCACGCACTATCTCACTTACCTGAGTGTCGTTAAAAATTCTGAAGTCTACGATTACGGGGGTTGCAAACTCTCAATAATTCTCCAATTTTAATCGTTCAACTGCAAAACACTAACGATTGCAAAAGACTGAATGTCGAGACGACTGATATGGATGATAATATATCTTCCTGGAAGTTTGTGGTTTTTTAAAATGATTAATATTTTGATTGCAAGGTTGCTCATATCCGTTGACATGTAAATTTCTGCAGGAGCCTGTTGCTCTTGTGTAGTATTTACAATAACATGACTAACTTGGAGGGCGATATTTATTTTTTTCTGGAAATTTGTGCTCTACCAAAATTATTAACATTTTGACTATAATGCTGCCCATATCCGTCGAGAGATGAATTTTCGCAGAAACTTGTCGCTTTACGAAAGTATTAATAATACCATTAAAAGAAGCAGTAAATATTATTTAAATAATACATGAAATTTATTAAAAACATTATTTTTTATTATTTTTATGTAAGATATTATATTAAATATAGTTTTTATTAGCGTAATATTTATATGTTAGCTTCTCTTGAAAAACTTCCAAATCTGCGTTGTTGACAAATACATCGTTTGGCTCAAAATGCGATTGGACGTAAATTTGCAAGCTGTAACAAAATTCAAAGTATTCAAATTGACAAAAAATTGATTCTTTTTTTTACTTTATTCTGTTGTTGGTCCAGAGAACCGCAATCAATTTTTAATTAATAAAATAGTATAAGAATATATATTGTATAATATCATATAAAAACGCTGATGATTTAGTGCATTTCCGACTCGTGCGAGACACCGGAGAATCACGCAGTGTAAATCGAAACCTAATTCGTTCCTAACGCAAGAACGCTAACAAACTACCAAGAATCCATCAGCACGTTCAATTGAAAGACCTTTAAAACTGCAATTAATTGCAGTTTCGCGATTATAAAGTCGCCGTCACGAGATCACGACGGCGGGTCGAAAATTAACAACCAAACGGGATGGACGTATGTCCGTCGGGACACGTTTTAAGAAAATCGTAACTAACAAATAAGAGTAACTTGAAGCTCCGTGAAAACTAAGCTAAGATAAAGATTCCTGGAACGGAACTTAGTAAATTGTAAAAAGAGGAAACTTGAAAAGGAAATCAAGAAACCAAGTAATAAAAGGACACCTGTTTTTTATTGAAAAATCAAAACAGTTGTATAATTTCCGGATTTCTGGCTTAATCCAACTCCTCGGCAAATCCCGAACCCGTGCCCTTGAAAAGGGGCACAACAAATCTGGTGGCAACGGTGGGATCTGCCTCTCCTTCGGGGCCAGGAACCCGGAACGTCTAGAGCCTGAAACAAAAAGAAAAATTTAAGTGAGTAAAAAATATTCGGCGGACAAGTTTCAATACGGAGATTATTGAAACGAGAAAACCCCGACCAACGCAACGGTAAGCAGCCGAAGCCAAGCAGAGTAGCAGCGCAGCAGCAGACTATCCAGAGCCAAGCAGTGCCAAGCGGAGTCAGCAAAATAAGAGTCAGCCGCAGAAAGCAGCCGAGCGACCTACCTCTACAGCCTACGATCTACAGCCGGACAGCGAACCGTAGCTAAGGATGAGGCAACATGCAAGCGATTATACTATTACTACTGTAAGTCCGAACCATTATATATAAAAACGCGTGAATGTTTAAAAGCGAAAGCGACCCCGATCCCATACGAAATAAGTCGTGGCTATTAAGCGACCAAACGCGACACGCGTTTCCGCACAGCGTTAAATCCGATACGCGTTATTGAAGAAGCGACTCGCGACATGAGCGATAACGTACGCCGTACTCTACAATATACAAACTCGGATGGCGATACCGACGACGAAATACATTCAAACGTAGAGAATAAACGTGATTACACTTTTGGAGATATCGATTTAAATTTAATTCCTGTTCTTAACGATACCGTAATAGAGGTAAAACCTAAAAAAGCTAGATCGTACATCAGCAGAACACCAAGCCGCGTGTCAAATTACAGCGAGTTTGAACTAACATCGTACAACAGTAACATATTTGATCTGAACGAAATCCGTGAAAGAAATACCGAAAAAATCTCTCAAAGAAGAAAGAGCGAGGCAGACATCGCAATAGAAAACGAAATATCCGCTTTAATGAAGCAAAATGCAAAAGAAGACGAAGACGGCGGACTTTGAACGGGAACACGCTCAAAAAATAAAACCACTTAGAATTCAGCAATAGAAGAAGCATTACAAGAAATGCGCGAACAGATCGCAACGTTATTTGAGTATCTTCATGCGCATTATCACGAACAGAATCCACAACAAGAACGCGAGACCGAAATTTCATACGGTCGAACTACTGGAGACATGCGAAACAGACAGTCCACTGACGCCCGACGATACATGACATCAAAAAACATGATAAATTTAATACCTAATTTTGTGACGGTACGTCACGGACGAACTTAAAATTATTTTTAAGCGCTTGTATATGCGCGATAAAATATGTAAAACCCGAGTTCGAGAACGAACTACTCGACGTCATAATGTCAATTAAACTGCAAGGCAAAGCATTAATGAATTTCGAGATTAAAGATATCAGAACGTTTGAACAACTAAAAAACAAACTGGAAAACTTTTACTACCCTAAAAGAAATCCTACATTGATTCAAATTGAGTTTAACCATCTGAAATAACGACCAGGAGAAAATGCGGTGGAATATGGAGCACATGCAGACCATCTAGCAATGCAACTATACGAATCTCTAACAGACAGTCCAGGAAGAACACCGCAAGATAAACGCACTATACTAGATACGGTTAAACAGTTGGCACTACAAAATTTTGTGTACGGACTACGCGAGGATATACGAATAGTAATCCGCGTACAACAATTTGCAACCCTGCAGGAAGCCATCGAATGGGCTAAAGCGGAGGAAAAATTAAAAAGACCACGTGATTCCGCGTACAACGCAAATAAAAATTTTAACAATTCTCAAGCAATTCAATGTCGTAAATGCGGCAAGCAAGGACATTACGGTCGTGATTGCCGAACAAGCCGTTACGGTAATCAATTCACTTTGCCTAAACCGAATGGATCAAGATTCAATGCACTAGATAAATACTGTAATTATTGCAAAAAATCCGGGCATAATCGTACCGAATGTTGGATATTAAACGAAAAACCGGAATATACTAAAAGTAAGAAGATAAATGAAGAGTCAAACACGCGCAATACCATAAACAAAACTAATAAGCATTGTGGAACTGAGAATGACGACGAAGAAAAGAAAGCAATTAAAGCGACAGCTAAGACAGTCTCGAAAAAACTCGGCGCGCTATGGACAGGACCTTACGTAGTAATCGAGAAAAAATCAAGCGTTAACTACATTATTAAAAAGGGGCGAAAGACAATGCTGGTACATGCAAACCGCATTAAACATTTTATTGAAAATTAAATCACACTCACCTTGTTACAGAGAATCAGGATACTCTTCGTTCTCACTATCCTCCTCCGTAAGCCAATGCATTCGATTAAGAACACATGCCACTTCTGAGATGAGCAACATCGCACGTCGCCATCTCAAGTGCCCAACCCGGCGACGACAACCATTAAACCGCCGAAATTGCCGCGAAACAGCACGGTGTAAACCCACAAGGAGCTGACGACAAAGGGCCATCCTTTGCAGTATAATAAGCCGTATGATAAGCTGCTCTGAAGAGCTTTGAACAAATGCAAGAACCAATTTCTCTAATAGTTCCGCAGTAGAAAATTCTCGTCGCCTCATCACTCTTCTATCGGTCTCAGACCGCAAAACAATTACTAAATTCGCAAACTTCATTGCAACTAAATCGGATGCTGAACGAGAACTGACGCACAGTAACACTCGCGAGAATCATAAGACCCCTCCAAAGGACGAAGTGCAGAGCAAGCACATATAAAAAATTATCTTGAAACCCTACACTACTGATATATTATAATATAACACGTAGCATAAAATTTCCAGGTACACTATATAGTATACTGTATATATAGTATACTGTATATATATTATATTGTATATATAGTATAATGTAATTGTTCGTTAATGTATTTCTCGTCATCTGCGTCTATGGTTCTAAATAGAGTTTTTGCGATACTTCCTATGCCGTCAATTAATCCGCGTCGTTTGTCAGAAGGTTTTTTATAGATATTATTTATTTGTTTTATGGATTCTGTTAATTGGTTAATATTCTTTTTTATTATCAAATTCATGTTTTGGCATGGTTGTTCTGTAGTTTTATTATTAATTTCGTTGCAAATCTCATTCGTATCTTGTATATTTTCTTTTATACGTTTGAATCTAATATTTATTGCTGTAATATCTAGTTTTATTACTAGTTTCTAGTTTGTTTCAATGAGGTTTAATTCTCCTATTTGTTCGTAGTATAGCCATGGTTCTTGTGAGAAGTATTTTATCTTGATCCCCAATCAATGATAATGACTGAAATAATGAGAGTATATATCATTTCAGTTATATAAAATACAAAATAAAGATAACTATATTCAATATGTATATGTATGTATTGAATAATTAATTAACTTAGTTATTTATTTTGTATTAATTACATAAGAATAAAAATAGGGAAAGCATATAATATTTTTTCCAATTAGATATATAGTATTATATATACATTTTTCAAATAAAATATTTTATCATATCTAATTTATATCTATTAGACACCTTGTATAAGTCTATTTCGTCTCGTACGTACATCATACAGCCATACGATAGAATTTCAATTGCGAGAAAAAAGGTGAAATGACTTTATAAATTATCCGATAAAACATAAACAGACCACACGTGTAGTAAATTACTAACTAAAAGAAATACGTATTTCTTCAAATCTGCAAGCTCACGATAGATCGCCTCTGACAATATTTCTTATAATTTGCCAGCTCACGAATAAATCTTTGGCTCTCTTTTTTCTAAACTGTCAGCTGACGTTAGATCGCCTCTGACTGTATTTATTAAAAATTGTCAGCTCACGATAGATCGCCTCTGACGATATTTCTTAAATTACTAGCTCACGAATAAATCGTCTTTGGCTCTCTTTTTTCTAAACTGTCAGCTGACGTTAGATCGCCTCTGACTGTATTTATTAAAAATTGTCAGCTCACGGTAGACCGCCTCTGACTTTTCTAATTCTACATCGCCAACACACGTTAGATCGCCTCTGGTTTTTCTATTTCTACATCGCTAGGATACGTTAGATCGCCTCCGGCTTTTTTATTTCTACATCGGCAGGATGTTAGATCGTCTCTGGCTTTTCTATTTCTATATCGCCAGGATATGTTAGATCGCCTCTGGCTTTTCTATTTCTACATCGCCAGCACACATTAGATCGCCTCTGGCTTGTCTTATTCTTTATTGTAAAATATTTTTATTACGTCATGTGCTTTATGTATATATATATTACAAAATTTAATACGAAATTGAAGATGAAAAAAGTGTTCAGCACTTCTCGTGTTTACGGTCGGCCGTACTTTAAAAAAAAGTATGCAGCTGCATGTTGCAAATTACATATTTTTTCTTAAAAGCAACAATGTGTTTTCTTTATATCAATTGATTTGTCTCATTATTTTGTGCATAAAAGTATTAAGGTAAGATTCCCGAAAACTGAATGTTTTACAAGATATTTTGTATTTTATGTTAAAATACTGTAACTTACAAGCTTCATATCTCGAAAAATACTTAATAAAAAATAATTTTATTATAGTGTTTTGAAAAGCTCTTGACACCAGCTATTAGATTCTGGAATAAAAATAGGGTGTTTTATTTAAAAAAACAAAGTTGACCTCCATATAACCTTGACACGTATACTCTAGGTTAAACCAATGTCACCATCGGATGTCCCTTTCCAAACCCAATAACTTTTGTAGAGAATATTTTTTTATCTAACCATTTCCTGCGAAATTAACAGGGGTGGTCAGTTAAAATAGGACACCCTGTATATTAAAAATCAAATACTTATCGGGTTTTTAGCATTTACGTAGTACAAATTTTTTCACATCGTGACGACAGATCATGCTCGATTTCTGCGCGTTCGCTGCGTTTTTGTTGCCACACTGCTAGCATATTCATACAATTTAGCTCACTGGGTTCAAGTATACTGCAATAAAATTATAAATTACAAAATTATCATTACCATTACATCTTATATAAACTATATTAGATATATATGTTAAAATATAAAATATTTGTAACACTGATATAAATATATATTTGTAATACTACTCATTTATGTCACCTTTTTTCAATAAATAATTGAGGCGATCTCCTGCATGCCAAAACCACTCTTACATAACTTTCTGCACCTGATGAAGACTGCAATTTTCTACCGTAGAAATGTAATCTGAAGTAATTACAAAATTATGTTTAAATTACAATTTTTTTATACTATAATATTAAGAACTGTTGTTACAATGTAAAAATATTAATAAATATCATTAATTAAATAGCGTAAAGTATTTAATACTATTATTACGTATAATATACGATAATTTTTTTGAAAGGTAAAACTATACTGTTTTATTTTAGTTGTGACAAGAGCGTGTACTTGGCCTTTTTTTACTTTTTTTTTAAAAGGTAATTTTTTGATAAATATATAGTACGCCCGTCCTGCCTATTCTATAATCTTAACGCAGCTATTACATGATGCAAAAAATTTGCGCAACAATATCATAACGATATCGTTAAGGTTACAGAATAGGCCAGCTGAACCGGTTAACCACAAATGTCAAATCTTTTGGAATGGAAAAAAAAATAAAAAACTAAATTTTCACGAAATTAAAAATTAAAAATTAAAAATTAAAAATTAAACGTCACAAAATAAGCTAAGCAACACGTACCTCAATACAACGCCGGCTATTTGTAACATGAATATAAATTTATGATAAAAAAGAACGCATAGATTAGTTTTATGTAACAGCAAAAACTATTTGCGCAAAAATTGTTATTCAATGATGTTAGCCCACAGAGCATGCATATTCAAAAGATGTTCAGAAGACATATCCTGAAGATATCTTTGAGAGATACGATATCTTTAGAATGTCCTCTCAACATCTTTTTGATATGCATGCTGCATGAGAGTTAGTTTAGTTTGACCGATGTTAGTAGATCACAATTCTAAGCCTTCTCAGAAGCTATCCAGATAGCACAGAGATAAAAAGAAGTTTATAGAGAATTTATTTTAAAAAATACATACAGAATTAGAATGTGTATCTGTAGTATGTAATCTGTAGAATGTTATCTCTAAATACCGTTATATTTACTTTTTCTCTCCTGCCTTTGCATAAACTCAAGCAAAAAACTTCCATCCTCTTTTTCTTGTTCTTGTTTCTTACTATAAAAGCTTCTACTACCATTTCGCTCGTCAGAGTGCATATTGAAAGCAAGAAGAAATAACTTCAGTGGTGTTCGCAGTTCGAGCAGTAACATCAGTGTCAACTCATATTTTACATTCTTCTTTATTTTTAAATCTTAAAGTGATTTTAGTTAAGTAATTTTAATTTAGATGATTATTATTTATTCTAATTATTGTTAAAATAAAGAAAATTAAATGTTTTTTAAAACTCATGTGTATATTTGAATATTAATTTTGAGTTACGGACTTCCGAAAAGCTATTACCTCCGATTTGGCTGATATTCAGCCTAAATACTTATTTTATCTAGTAAATAATATTTCCAAATAAATTTTTGGCGCAAATGCCCCCTTTACCCTCCAGCTCCCCTCAAAGGTAAAACTGTTTTTGTTAATTATTTCAGAAAGTGTTCATTGTACGGAAAAAGTTGTCAAACAAAAAATGAAGCTCATAAAAAGCTCCACAAATAAGGTTCTATATTATATATTTTACCTAACTCCAATATTTTAGTCGTTTTTTTTAAAAAACTTGTAAAAGCTCCCGTAAGAGGGGCGGCGCCCACTGCATCCACGCATACACTTTACAACGCGAAGCGAGGTTCTACATGGATTTACGAATTTCTACGCAAAGCGAGATTCAGTTCAAACCCTATGTGTATAGTTTTTTGATGGTAGAGCTTCCCGCAGGGGGGCGGAACACATCTCCAAATTTTTGATAATAACGGCTAAAATATTGGAGTTAGATAAAATATGTATACGACCTTATTTGTAGAGCTTTTTATGAGCTTCATTTTTTGTTTGACAACTTTTTTCGTACAATAAATACTTTCTGAAATAATTAACGGAAACCGTTTTACCTTTGAGATGGCCTGAGGGGCGGAGGGGGCATTTGTGCCAAAAATCTATTTGAGAATATTATTTACTAGATAAAATAAGTATTTAAGTTGAAAATCAGCCAAATCGGTGGTGATAGCTTTTCGGAAGTTTATCCTGAGTTACTAATTATGTTAATAATTAAATAATATAATTTTTTCTAGATTACAGTACTTAAAAAAACAGAAAATGTCTGCAAACATAGCTGTATTCAGAATTTGGAGAGAAAGTAATCCTATGATTACATATCTATGGAAATCGCATGTGACTTTTCAAATCCAAAAAACAATTTGCGTTTCTACAAAAAACAGATATCATTTTAGTAATGTCACTCAGGCGGAAAATAAAATAACAGTAAATCAGAAAACAGACTGGAATAAAACAATATCAGAGGCAGAAAAGATTGTTGGATATCCGACGCCTTTTTTAAATTTAAGGTGGCTGTTGAGCGATGAGATTGCAAATGTTGCATTGCACTTAAGAAAGCTAGTTGGCACAACCCATCCCTTACTAAAGACAGTCAAGTAAGTCTTATGTGTGACAATGTTTTCTTATAAATAAAAATAAATAAAATTTTATTTATATTTTTTTTACAATAGGAATTTGTTTATTTATAATGGACGTAACGCATTTGGTCTTATTGTGTTATTAATCTCTAAAGCTGCTGGCCATTTAAATGCAAAACCAATAGAAGAAGATAAAGCTGCAGGTGTATTACACAGGTATAATATATATAATAATTTGAAAGAAAAAATCACATAAAAGAGCATAATATATTATATAACATAATATAATATATTGTCCTGTTATATGATATAATAGAGAGATAGAGTTTTAAATATGTTTCCAGTCAAAGAGTATTGGCCGAAGTTATACAAATGATATGCACTAGTAACTTGATACACAAAAGTTTGGTAAATATAAATACAAATGAATCTTTAGAATCATTGGAGTTGAACACTATGTCTTTTGGCAATAAAATAGCATTGTTATGTGGTATTTACTTGTTTGGCAATAGCTGTATTGAATTGGCGGCTCTTAGAAAGCAGGATGTAAGTATAGACATTTTATTTATGAAAGTAATGGGAGAAAGAACCTAGCTTTTTTTATTTTTCAAAATTCATGGAAGATGTATTACTTTTCAGCTTGTATTCTTGATATCAAGTGCAGTAAGAGATTTATGTCAAGCAGAATTTGTAGCACGCAGAGACAGTCAAAATTTTCCCATACCGTCAATACCACCTAAAGATTCTACAGGCTACGCACTGAAAGAATGGACGCTCTTAAATGTTTATGGTGGTGGATCATTACTCGGTAAAAGTTGTCAAGATACATTAAAGCTAGCAGGACATAATGAGGAAATACAGGAGAATGGTTACAAATTTGGCAAGCATCTAGCTTTAGCTTGGCAGGTAGTGTATTTAAAATTAATGCATTAAGTTTATACATGTTTGTAATAATTTTGTAAAATTGATAATTTAAAAATCTAATGTAAGAACATTTTTACAGGCTTCCTTAGACTTAGGTTTATGCCTTAGCAATGATAAAGAAATCATATATAATTTATGTGCTGCGCCAATTATGTTCCATGTTGAACATGATCCATCGATTTTGATCGAACTTGATAAAGGTTTAGAATCAGTTGAAAAAATTGATTATTTAAAGGTATAAAGCTATACACACTAACATTCATATATAATTTCTATAAATCTATAAATAATGTTTATGTATATAGTTGCTTGACATCGTCACAGCTGGTCCAGGCATTGGATTAACCAAAGAGCTTGTGAAGGAACATTCGCAAAAAGCGTTGGAAATCTTGAATGTTTTTAAAGAAAGTGATGCTAAAACAGCATTATCTAATATTATTGTTGCCATAGGAGATTTTTAACAAAAAAAACTCTTTTATTCTCTAATCTATTGCTCAATAAGCAATTTTATTAAATTATACTTTATTTGTATATACTAAGAAAAAGTATATAAGATATTAATATATAAATATAAATTATTATTATATATTTTTATATGCAAATTAAATATTATATATAAGAATGTTACGCTTTATATATATATATATATATATATATATATATATATATATATACTAGTACGTA